CGGTATTAACAAATATTTTGTGTATAACCTTATTAATGTACGTTTTTTGTAGACTAAAAAGTTAAAAACCAAGAAACAGCAATCTAAAGTTTGTACAATATTTCCGCTTGCCTACACTACTTTGCATTACATCGAACGCTACTCCCCCTACATAGTAGTCTGCTGTTTCAATCTCAGTCCAAGTTTCATGGGGCACTCCGTGCTGTTATAAAATTTTGAAAAAAAAATCACTGATTGATATAGGATGTAATTTCGTCAGTTACTACATGTTATGTCACTATATGAAGGTATCCGTTACGTGACTGCACGTACAAATATACTTGCTAGACAGTTATACAAATTTTGTGAAAGCACAAGAAAGCGATTACGGTCTTTCTTGTGGTCCGATCGAGTACAAAGCCAAGCACTCAAAATTTGTGTCAGTGAAATGCTAACGTGTGGCGCATTCGATTATGCAAATTTTTAATACATCACTGATGGCGCCTGAGAGAAATCTCTGAAAGCAAAATAGATATTTTAGCTGACCATTCTCCCCAAATTTCGTTTGAAAAATATTTACACTACTAGTGTTTATATTAACAATATACCTGAAATATGTCCTCCTACATCGTACGCTTCGGCATATATGTTACGCAATTATCTGATTTGTGTTGTCTGTGTCAGGTAGAAAGTTCAAGAGTCAAACAGAATACAATAAAGAAAATTATTGGAGTGCTCAGCGCCATAGGCTACAGAGTTAGACGTATAATAAAATAAACAACATGATATATTGGTAAAAATAAAATTTGAATAGTAGCAGAGTGTCTTTACGTCAACTTATCCATTGCTTGGTTTGGTGACAACGACTCAGTATCTATCCCAAAGGATGCATATATAACTGTTCAGTTACCTGTTTCAATAGTTACTGGCGACCAATTCCAGACATTATAAATAAACTGAATTTAAATGCGTATTTTATGTAGATCAAATCAGATACATCTTATAAGCAATGTAAAAAAGAAATTACTGTAAATAGGATAGCATCTTAAATCTAAATAACAAATCTAATTGCATTCACTTCATTTGGATTTATCACTGACACACGCCTAGTTTGATCAACTACTGAATATAACACGCTACTCCTCTCACGTGTCTCTATTCTTATTCAAAAAGTAATTGTTAAATTAGAAAATTCATTGTATAAACCGCGTATTGAAATTGGCAAAGATGTATTTTCGACAGCAAATCTTGAGATGCTGAAATGTTAGAGTTACCAAAACATAGAGTTACAAACATGACCACGCCCATATTTGCAAAACCACGCCCAAATTATAACTCGATGTTCAATTAACAGTTAACCGAACCTCGAGTCATGGGCAACATAAATTGCTTGTGTTTAACGTTCACATTTAGTAACTCGAACTTTAATTAATAGTTAGCCGAACTTCGAGTTACGGGCAACATAAAGTTGTTGTTTTGTTTAACGTTTTATGCTCGAGTTACTATATATATAGCCTGTAACTCGAAGTTCCGTTGACTATTAAATTAACGAGTTACAATTTGGGTGTGGTTTCTAAAATATGGGCGTGGTCGTTTGTGTAACTCGATGTTTTCGTAACTCGATCACTTCAGCATCTCGCAAATCTTCAACTATGATACCACAGTGGCATTATAATATGTCTTCTTGACGAGGATACCGGTAACGCCTGAAGTAAGCATCCGATTAAAGACGTTTCATGATTGAGTGTATCTGCGGGGCGTATTCTGTTCTAGTCAACGATGTTTAATGATGCTGCATTTTTTGACATATGTTATTTTGTAATACTAAGTATATGCTATAGTCGCTTACCCAAGCTATATAGTATAATTTTACTGCATTTTAAGTCTATGGATATCTAACGTAAAGGTCTTCATGACATTGTTATTAAACGTCGCTATCTACTAGAAAGTAACTCAAATATTTTACACAATGTGTTTTGGTGATGAGCACGTGGCATTCCATGGACCGCTAGATAATATGATACTAGCTAAATAGTTTAATTAATATAATTGTGTAAATTAGTGAATATAATTTCGATTAAACATTAATTGTCAAGTAATAAATTATCAATTGATTAAGTGGCGAATAGTAACCAAGAATTAGTTGCTGACAAAATGTCTAAAATATCAAAAAATCATTAATGGTAAAGTTTTAGTTAATCAACTGGCCGTGAAATATTGAAAATATGTCACATAATATAACGACAAGTGAGCTACTACAGCATGTGTGTTTATTGATGGCGAGTAGTGTATAAGTAATTCGATATGTCTGATAGCAGAAGTGTTTGTCTAATTATTTTAGTTGTTTTTTTACAGTTCACTTATGTGCGGCTTTTTAATACCAATCATACTGTTTCATGTAATTCACTGTACTATTTGTTCTTCTTCACACCTTGTCTTCATTATATTCCAGTTGAAAACACGTACGCCATTTCCGGTTCTAATGGTATAACACGTACGAGTTAACACCTACGTTACCTCCGGTGCAATAAGTATAGTTAGTAGTGACACGTTGCACAAGATTATTCTTAGTTTGATATGTTACTAGCAAATCAAGGCAGTCACTGTCCTTTTTATATAGCACTCTCTCCAAGATGACGTCTCCCGACAGTCGGAGTTATTATCTCCTTGTTGGCGTTGAGTTTCAAACCAACAGTATCGCTTTGCCTATCTGGCGAGTAGCGACTGTACCCATAAGTGGCTGTGCTTGAACTTTTGCTGTAAAACACCCCACTTGTATTGCTGCGAATGTCCCGGCCTCTATTCCGGCGGCAACATGTCCGACAAGCCCAGAAAAAACATTCTCTGAAGGTACGCGAGACGAACGCGTAGCATATAGGATTCATGCAGCTGTTCAGGTAGGAGAGCAGATTAAACGAGATGGCCAGTATGGTTCTAGTCAAGCTGAACCGTTCTATGATACCGAATTCGGTGACAAATGTTAACCAGATCACTGGACCCCAGCATGTCATGAACAGCGCCACCACAACCACCAACATTATAATGACCTGAAAATGGAATAATTGCTCTGTTACTATGAACGACAATTGTAGATGTGATCAACACATACAGCCAACGCAAGGCAAAATATTTGTTCAGTTCAACACAAACATCAAGTTATTCCATTTAATGTTTTTTTTTGTAACTTTTTTTCAGATTTATAAACCGTGTAATATTGAGCCGAAATTATTTTTATAGTAGCAAATAACAAGACGTATGTTCTAATGTTAGGACGGCCGTGCTACACATGTGCAAATATATTATATACAGCTGAGAATTATGGTTGCTTCTCCTAGATTAATAGACGAATCCATGTCTTACCTATTTGTATGATATTATTATAAGTATTTGCCACGTAACATCTCGTATTATATGTGACAAAACCGTATTTTTACTCAATGTTAAAAATCGCCTCGCGTCAAATTTAGGATCTTGTTCAGTTTTCTTGTCGCATTTAAACACAACTCGTCATAACCTCTAATGTTTTGTGAGGCTTTATTGCCTTTCCTTTTTATTTTTATTTATTTGCGTATCAGCAAATTATAAACAAAACATACCTGTTTCCTGTCGTCGGTGGCGTCAGTTTTACGTTTTTTCTTTTTCTTCTTCTTTTGCTCTAGTTCCACCAGCTCATACCCACTCATAGGATCGGTGACTGTGACGGTGACATTGCCATTCGGCTCCTGATTATTGAGAGGAATGCGCTTTTCATTTCTTGCCGTTTGGTTCTGCATCTTGCGTGCCTTCTTTGTGCTTTTCCAGAGTTCATAGATGATCCTGGTGTAGCAGAAGGTCATCACGAACAGTGGTAACAGGTACATGCCAAGAAGTAGATACAGTGAAT